GCAACTCTATTAGGTCTAATGCTAAAGTAACTTTGCGTAGAAAATTCGAAGACGTTTTGAGTAGATCGCATAACACGGCTACAAGAGCGTACAGAAACACCGCCAACGAAGATCAAACGAGTCACAATAGGATAAATAATGTGCAAAGAAATTCAAGGCTAAGCGTGCTAAGAGGCATGGCCCTCCGTGACGGTGCGCGCTCGTTATTAGAATTGGGACCGAGTTTCTCATCATCTGATCCCATTTCTAAGGTAACCTCCTTGCGTAGGGTCGAACGTAGTTTACATGAACTTCAAGATAGACTCCGCAAAAAAGCTAGGGATGAAGCACAAAATAGGCACGAACAACAAAAATTAGGGGCAATACCAGTACCGCCATTTCCTCAACCGTTCTTTAAACAACAAGAGCCCAATAATGAAGTTGATGTTAAATTTCGGTTGTTTACGAATAAAACTTTAAATGTCCTTAATCACTATCGCGCTAAAGGTTACTGCTCCAACCTCACTGAGATACAAAAACGTGGTATGCTGGAGGTATGGGAGCTGATAAGGATGAAAAACATAAGACTATTGGTTAGTGATAAGGTTGGAGAGTTCGTTGTAATTCCCCATCAATTAGATGTTGAGATAATGCAAAAGCACCTTGAAGATGCTTCCCTTTATCATCCGTCGTCTGAGAAAGAATTTAAAAGTCAATACCGAAAGTTAAACAACGAATGGATTAAAGTGGCAAGAGCGGCCGGGTTAAAACCATTAGTTATCTCTCATCTCAAAATTGACTTACCAACGTGTCCCGTCCTGTACTTACTTATCAAAACTCATAAGTTAGTATCCAGCGATGATCTCGCGTCTACCGATCCATCGTTATTTAAGGTTAAACCTATCATTAGCTGCATGGACGGGCCAACGGATAGAATAACGTGGTTAATAATCCTAATACTTACTCAGTTGTTGAAGTACATTTCACCTTATCTAACGAACTCACAAATGTTCCTGGATCGTCTACGTAACGCGCGACCCAACAGTGCGTACGTGATGAAGTCCTTCGACGTCACTGCCCTCTATACGAACGTGTCGAATGACCCCGCTATGAAAGCCATAAGCAAGCTCCTTATACAACACGAAGGAGCAATAGACATGTACGGCTTTTCGATTCAGCAGTTGATGACACTCTTAAAGGAGTGCCTAAACTGCTCAATCTTCAGATGGTCCGGGAGGTATTACACACAAATGAGAGGGCTGGCAATGGGACGACGACTGGCACCAAGCCTTGCCATTGCATTCATGTCTAAGGTGGAAGCGCCAGTAATCGACCTCAGTCTGCTACTTTACTGTAGATATATGGATGACTGCTTGGTCGTTTGTCTAACAGAAGAAAAAATTGACAGATGTTTCGAGTTGTTGAACGAAGAGTCAGAGTATATTAAATTCAGCCGAGGAGAAACCAAAATAAAACTGACTTCTATTTCTGAACGTGCAAATTAGCCTATCAGAAAACGGCTACATTACGAAGTGGTATCGAAATCCAAGTAGTAAAAACATCCTGGTTCATTACCTCTCCTCTCACCCCTCTCACACGAAAAGGGCGCTTGTGAGAAACATGTGTCGAACAGCTACCAGCGTGTGCACAGGAAGGCAGCAGAGAGAGGAGTCCATGAACTTGGCGCGACAAATAGCCATTTTTAATGGATACGATTCTGTAGCTCGAGATAGGTGTAGAGAAAACCACAGGTACCCCAACGGTAACTCTAGCGACAACAAGGTTCTGTAGGTCCTGTTTATACTGCCCTTCATTTCAAATGAAATAAATGCAGCTATAAAACGTTGTTTAAGAAGGGCCAGTCTAGAGAATTCGGTAATGATAATCGAAATACCACCGAGTAATCTAAGATGCCAGCTAGTTCGCAACCGCCTATACGACCGAATATGTGCAACGCAAAACTGCATAATTTGCCCCAATGGTAGATACAGTGATTGCATGAGTTCGGGTACAGTCTACCTGGTCTCTCGTTGAGCGAGAGGGGACTAATACGCTGGCGAAACGGGTAGACCACTCTGCGTACGTATAAAAGAACACCTAGTCGGCAAACGTAAGCCAAATACTCCACTAGGCACACATAGGACGCAGAAACATAACGGAGACGATTTTGAAGTAAGGGTTACGATCGTCGCGCAAGAATCGAGAGCACAAACGCGCAAAACTCTAGAGGCACTCTGGATTAATTCCAAGAATTCGAAAATAAACCGCAGGGAGGAATGCCTAATTATCATGCGTGATATTGGGCAGTATATAAGCCTGTAATTTTAATGAGATGGGCACAATACGATTTCGTGTGAACTCAGTGCGGTTAGTCTTTCCGCGGCATACTCAGTGGAAGACTCATAGAAAGCGGTGAGTGTGCAGAGCTGTGTTAAATCTGATTGAAATCTTGGTTTATCGTTTTTTCTGTTTGGTTATGGAGGTGTTTGGCCGAATAGATTGCTATCAACTTGACCTTTCCAGGCTCTGAAGAAGGCGAAATCCGCCGAAACGTCGGCTTGTCCGTAAATTTCCAGTCACTTGAATCACAAAGGAAAGGAAAAAAATTCGACAAATGGGTGCCGCACAAATTAAATGATAAACAAACAAATCTTCGCTTTGAAGTGCCCTCTGGTCTTATTCTGCTCAACAAAAACCTTCGTTTCCTTGATCGAATTGTGGCGTGCTACCACAGCTGGTTCATGTATGACAGCCGGCGACGTTCAGCTCAATAGTTGGATTGCGATCAGACTGCACAGCACTTCCCAAAAACGAAATTGCACCAAAAAACGTTAGTGGTAGCTGTTTGCTGGTCTGCAACCGGGTCAATTCATCACGAGTTTTTTGATCCGGGCGAAACGGTTATGGCGGAGGATTATTGCAAACAAATCGACGAAATGCACAGTGAACTCCAACAACAACGACACTGGTCAATAGAAAAGACCAAACCTTCTCCACGACAACACATAACCTCACTTTGCGAAACTAGCGCTGCGGACGTTGAACAACTTGAGCAACGAAACCCTTCTTCATTCACCATGTTTATCAGACCTTTCGATTACCAACTATCACTTCTTCAAACAGCTTGACAACTTTGTGCACGATAAACATTTCACCAGCCACGATAACGCAAAAAATGCTTTCACCGAATTCGTCGCTTCCAGTGCTCCAGAGTTTTGTGCAACTGGAACAAATAAATTTGCCTTTTGTTGAAAAAAATTTGCTTACTTTAATGATGTACTTTATTTAGTAAAATTTAGCATTAGAAAAGTTATGGTTATTTAAAGTTCGGATCTAAAGTCGGACATTTCATGTGTTACAGCTTCATCACGGCACGTCATCTGTTACTGTCAAAATGGTTGTAAACGTGATTAGCTAAAGAAATGATCACTGAACATAAATCGAACGGAGATTTGGTTCAGCGTGAGCACGAAAACGCGAAACGATCCAGGAAGAACTGGAGGCGGTGATCTATCTTTGGCAGGGCGAAACACCTCATCTGTCAACAAATTCGATGAGGAATTTTGTATACCTACTTTACTTAATCATTGCATTAATGTTCTTTATCTTACTGAATTGTTGAGATTACACAATCTTGTGACGAAACCTTAAGAAGACCCACAGCTTAAGAATGAATGGCTACGGAAAACTAACTCAAGTCTTTCCGGCTCACAGGGGGAAGCCTTCGAAACGCTAGCAGAATAAAACTGTTGAAAAGATATCCTTTAAACTGCACAATTATAATGATTAATCACACCGAAGTTGGGTGGAATTTGGTCCGCAAATGTATTACTGCTATGTGCTAAATAATCACGTGTTGATTACAGCAGAATAGCTTATCTTTGTAAAAACAAATTATCAGTGGAAATTCAATCAGAACTGCTGGCTATAAAAAGCAAACACTAAGCGAGGTAACTTCATTTGAGGGTGTCTGAAAGAACCCTGATACAAAAGTGCTTCCAGCGCATTTGGTCGATATGAGGTTAGAAGAAATCCGTATTGCATTCTTGAATTACTTTCACAATACAATTGTTGTCTTAGATTTCTGTTTGTTTCTACGCTAGTTCTTTCGCACTGAAAAGTGAGCGACAGCTTCTTGTCATTGACTACGAGCTGATGACCTTTTTCCGTCAATAAACTATTTAGAAAACCACCTTTGGTAGTGTTTCCGTAGCCCCAGTTTTGTTTTCATCGACGCCGCTGCGAGACAGCAGTTGCTGTCTAAATCACTCGCAGCTTCGTCATATATGAGGGCGTTCTTGATTGATGAAGAGTGAATGGTTTAGCAATCGAGTCCACAAACTGGGAAGCATTTCGACATATTCGGCCTTTGAAAAGAGTCGCGTCTTGTGTGATACTTCGGGCAATCTCGTTACCGTTGGCCGAATAGTTGTTGTAAGCGATCACTATGCATAGTGTTTACAAGATTTTGCTCTTATTACCTCGTTGTTAATAATATTGCAAGTAGTGCCTTTTTGAGTGCCCGACCCGTGTTCACTTCTAATTTGCCAATCCTGCCAATTCTTGTATTCGACTCGTTTTTTTCGCGCCGATTGCCCACGAAATTTCCAAAGTTTCTTCATTTAGGATCCGTTGTTACTTGAGGATAGTCGGGGAGGTCTTCTCGTTATAATAGATTTCTTGTTNTTGCTACATAACTGCAAAGAATCAGTAGTTTTTCAAAAGGCCTGTTCTTTCTCACGCATCGGCTTGCCATTTCATCTCGTAATGGTAACTGTATTTGCACAGGACGGTTTTTTTGACGACTTTTATGGTGTTGCGTGTTCATCGCTTGGCAGGTGTTGCTCGCCGACAGATGCTAGTACTTAAAAAAAGGATTAGAATTTTTACAGAATTATAAAATTTTAATCTTTTCTTGCATATTACCATATATCCAGTATAAGAACTTTTTCCAATTTGCACATTTACGTCCTTAAAGCCCTTCGAAAATAGCAGCGGTAGAGGAAGCTAGATTGGAATACATGGAATGCATCGAGGACTTCATGAAGGACATGCGTAAAGCCGCAGTAAGTCATCATGGATCATGTTTATCCCTTTATAGAATGAGCCAAACATTTTTTCACTTACTGCAGGAATCGTCGAGCAAAGTAGTGGAGGAGCTTATTGAGCAAGCCAAATCGTCTCTAAAAGTATTAAAGGAGCGAAAAGCAAAATGTCAATTGGAATTAGAAGGTGTGAAACCCATCATAATTTGACAGCGGAAATTGTTGAAGTAATTCCACTATAACGTTCATGTTGTTTTATGTTAAATTCAGAAATTTGTTACGTTTAGCAGTGAGCAAAGTTATTTCCAGAGCTGAGACTTAAGGACAGTAAATTCCCTAGGAAGGTGTCGAAAGGTGGCGGCGCGAAAAATTATGTTGATTCTAAGACCACAGAGGAGGAACTCGTTATGAACGGGTCAGAGAAGAGCGTTGACGAGGAGTCGAACATGTGCAATGATGATGTTGTCAAAAAATAAAATTCCGTTGCTATTCATGTGTTTATACTCAATCATTTTATGGCTCACTGATAGCGACAAAATACCGTTTTCGCCAAACGGCTTGGAATGCAAAACAGTTTTCGCCGTATAATTAGTTCCATCAAGCAGAATACAGTGCTATTTTCAACCAAAGATGCTCTATCCATTGCAATTAATTGATCCTCAGCTTCAGAAAGCAGTGGTCTGCCAAAATGGAGAGCTGTAGCGTTCTTAGTGCAATTTTAACTTGACCGCTATGTTGCTTGCCATTAACACCGCTGAGGGAATGACTTTCATTTCTACACACACTAACTTAGGTACTGCCTAAGAGAATAGACGAAAGCTATGGATAACGGGGTAGAATGTTGACGAAACATCGTGTAACCTGCCATCCAAGACAGTCTATAGCTTCCAGCGAAAAATTCGCATATTATATTTCATGGTTTTGAACCTTCTACGTTGTCGAACCCAAACATCGTTGCTCGAGCACCGCGAATTCTTGTGAGCATTTCTCGCCGTGAAGTGACAGTGGGCACAGATGTAATGGATCAGAAAAATTTCTACAGAGAAATTCTCTTTGAATCACGAATTCTTTGTACTTTTAGAACAACGGGTACTGGTGCAAAACCGGTGGTACACAACGCCATCGAAATTACATTCTGAACGCAACTTATAGTTGGTGAAATTCTTTTCCTTCCTTAGCTTGCAAAATTAGACATAAGCTCTTAGGTTCAGGAAGTGTTACAGGTTTTTTTTTGAAGGCAGTGGATAATTCTCTTGACAAAGGCACACTTTTTAAAAACTATGATTTTCATTAAATCTGGCTGAACAATTATACAAACGTAGTCTTACATGAAAAATACAACGGTTCAGTACATGAATTGCCTATTTCGAAACATCGTATCAGTACCGACACTTGCATTTTAACCATTGATTAGCTTGCACTAATCGTCAGTGAATATGTTCAGATTCGCGTGTGAGTTCCTTTATGACATAAAATCTGGTGTGTTCTCTCTTCACGGTATTGTAGATTGCTCTTTCAATGCAGTTTTTTTCTTCTAGAATCAATCCATGCCAAGGTTTTGAGAGATCTTCACGGTAGGTTACACGTTTTTCGATAAGCGGTTAGATTAACATCTAGCAAGAAAGATAGCCCAGAAACGGCAGCGATTTTGCGCGTTATGATCGCGACGATGCAGCCAGCTCAATTGATCCACAATTACCCACTCATAGTATATGACAGCATCTTTGTTGATAGGACTACAAGTACTTAGGCGCCCTCACTTCGCCGTGTGGACGCCGGCACTCCTTCGATTCATTTCGCTGTGCTGCAATCGTCGTTTGTAGAAATTGTCAGATTCGCGCGTGAAATTCACAGTAACTTTAGGAGCCATTATCTTCTATTTTCATTAGAATGTTGGATACGCCATTCTACGCCTGTAGTCAATCAAGAAGTTTTCATCAAGGAAAAGAGTAGTGTTCTATTGACCATTGTTTAATTTGGTAAACGAATCTGGTGTTTTATTCAGTATTACTTAATTCGATATATATTTCTGCCGCTGAAGGGCATTTATTTAGAAACTTGGATTGCCCATCCTCTTTCACTGGTCAAGCAGGCCATAGAGCAACTTTCATTTTTTTCGGAGCTCTGCTGAACAAGCTATTGTGGTTCTCTGAAGTCCGGAGATCAGCTACATGAAGCTCTGCCCCACGTCGTCACCATCACTGGCAATCACCGCTTTTGTGGATCAGGGGAGTTGTCACCTGTAAGTAGTTTTGATAGCGAGACAGTGGTGATTCATGGCATTGGTTTGCTCTTGTTGGGGCTTCCTAACGAAAACGTCAGACACATTCTCAGCTAGGAAGACCCTGTCAGAAAAATGAAACCACCCCGCGTACATCGTAACCCGACATCCAGGAACACCTCCCAGCCACGATGAAGCCTTAAACCATTGGGAGGAAGGATTCCACAGAAGAAACCCATCAAAAAAGCAACGTTTAACATTGCATCTCAATCAACAGTAGCGATTAAAGAATATGAACAACATGAATTCTAAAGTGCCAAAAAATTGGAAGATATATATTGCAAGGAGGCCAAAGAAGGATAAAACTCTCCACGCTGATCAATTTTTGGGCGACGTGTCATGTTTACGATTTCATTAAGCATTGTTGGCGGTGAATAAATGCATATCTGGCCTTTACAATGACTCGTGGTAGCCTAACGATGTATCGAACAAGTGATGCTGTCCTTCTAGACAAGTCTGATACCAATTTGCCGACCCCAGAGGGATGGATGGCTTGGCGAGCCTTGGGCTTGGGGATCGTACCCATATGTATTACAGAGCGCCTCAACCACTGCGCTACAGGCTCCCACTTGTAAGAAGGAAACACAAGAAAAAGAAGAAAAGGGACAAAAAGGTCATTTATCTTACCCTTTATCTCAAATGATGTAAGTGCAGCTATAAAACGCTGCTTAAGAAGAGCGGGTCTAGAGAATTCGGTAAACGTAATTGAAATGCCACCGAGTAATCTTAGGCGCCAGTTAGTTCGTAACCGACTGTATGACGGTCTATGTGCAACGCAAAATTGCATAATTTGCCTCAATGGTAAAGACGGTGATTGCATGAGCTCGTGTATAGTTCATTTGATCTCCTGTAAGGCATGCAAAGACGAATACATTGGCGAAACGGGCAGACCCCTCTGTATCCGCATAAAAGAACACCTAGCCGGAAAACATAAACCAAATACCCCGCTAGGCACGCATAGGACCCAAAGACATAACGGGGAGGACTTTAAAGTACGTGTCACAATCCTCGCGCAGGAATCAAGAACACAAGCGCGCAAAACTCTCGAGGCGTTCTGGATTAATTCCAGAAATCCGAAAATGAACCGCAGGGAAGAATGCCTCATTATCACGCGTGATAT